GAGCGGGAGGGTCCGGGGCGGGGGGTCCACTGGGCAGGGGCTCGAGTTGAGGCTGCCCCGGAGCCCCCCGGGCTGTCACCGGTGCCAGCCCTGCCTGGGGGGTGCGGGGCCCGTCCCGCTCCCAGCGCCGTTGGGGCGCTCCTGCCGCCGGAGGGAGGCCCGGGGCCCGTGCCCGCCCTGAGCCCTTCCCCGAGCGGAGCCGGGACGTGACAAACCCCTGTGAGGGGTTTTCCTGGGCTGTGTGTCCCGGCAGCCCTGCCCGCGCCTTCCCCCGGCGGGCAGCAGGGACGTGCGGGGCAGAGGCTGCCGGTGAGTCCGTCCCGAGGAGGGGCCGGTTCTGTTGGTGCCTCTTCCTTGGCCAGTGCCGGGGCTGCCGTGGCCCTGGGGCCCCCAGCGTGTACCGGTGGGGTTGAGGTGCCAGCGGGTGGTGTGTGTTTCAGCAAAGCTTTTCTGTGTCTCTGTCTAGAGACCCTTCCAGGTTCTGTTCAAGGGAAAGTCTCTTGATCTGCTTATTCTTTCCTATTGCTGTTGCTGATCTTCTGAAAGACACTGCCCAGAGCTGAATGAAGGCAGTGCTGGAAGCCAGTTCAGGTGCTACTTTGGTCCTTACTGTGATGTTGAGATTTATTATTTGATGTGTATAATTGGAGAGCAGGTGCCTGGCTGGGGGGGGTATCTGCAGGTTGCTCCCCCATTTCATGGGAGGTGCTGGTAGACTTTGGCAGGCAAAAGGACATCACAGCAGACTTGCAGCTTGGTTTTGTGCTGTGTGGCTTGCAAATAATAAGTATGTGAGGGGTTGCCTGTCTGATTGCCTCTTGGTGTTGTGGCACAGGCAGTGCAGGTAAAGGGCAGGATGCACAGTGGTAATTATGGCTTTCCTGGTGCAGGCTGCAGATAAGAAAATTAAGAATATTTGAAGAGCACGAATTAAATAATACCTGTTGTGGTTGGGCTCTGTCACTAATATACTTTCATGTAATAAATACGAACATTTCCCTGTGGGTCACTTTAGGGTGAAAAAATCATGTGACTTGTACTTAATGCAGGGCAGCTGGCCACTCTAACTACAGGTAATGAAAATGAATTGCTGCTGCCTTCTAAGCTATGCCCACAGCATAACTTGGTTATGCTTAGATGGAATAGAAAATCCTTTTATCAGAAGGAAAGTGAGGGGAAAATTTGCTTCTGCCTTAACCACAGCTGAGGTGAATTATTTCCACTACATCTTTAGAAACTGGGAGCTCAGTACTTGGGTGGGTCTGCTCTACATTATCATCATACTTTCACTTCAGGATAATCATAGCCAAATACCTTCCCTGTTGCTGAAGCTGAGCTTTGAGGACAATGAACTTCATGCACCAGTTTAGGTGCTTCTGTGGAAATAAAGGCAACTTTTATTTCACACTCTCTTACAGTAAAACCCCCTAGCACAGTAAATGACACATTTGTCAGGCTCTGCTGCTGGGTTTCTGCCTCCAGAGTTCAACTTTGATGTTTATTAGAGATTGGTCCCTCAATCCCTCAGCTGTATTTTAAAGCTCGATGTCAGTCCTGCTTGACTAACATCAGAGATGTGATTTCTGCATGTGATGTGTATGTGAGAATCAGTTCTTCACTTGTTGGTGTGTCCCCCTGTTCTCCTGAAGAACATGCTCAGGTGCCTGGGCCTGTGGTGTGATCACAAAGCTGGTTTGCAGCTGAAGGTCCTGTTTCCAAACAGGAGGTGGAGCTGTGAAGTGAGCCTTGGTGTGGGGAGGGATAATCCTTGGAATCAACATCTGGGATCACTTGGACACCACATTAGTGGACATACCAGAAGTCTCACCTGTCACTGCTGCAAGAGCAGCAGGTTGATAGGGAGCCCTGGGATGTTCCCAGCTGATCCTACACAGGCAGTCAAGGCTTTTCAGGTTTTGGAAGTGAATGCTGGGCTGTAAGGCCAGAGTTAAATTTTCACATGCTTTTAGACAGCAGCTCACTAGTGAGCTCTGAATCTTTGGAGGCTGCTTCATGGAGTTGTTTCAGCTACAGTGAGTTGGAAAGAGATTGGAGGGAAGGAAGTGGTGCAACTTTGTACCACGTTGTCATTCCCTAAGTGGAAAAAAATGTAAGCAAATTTATCCTGAAGCCCTTTTATGGATTCAGTTAAAAGACAATCTGTAAGTGCTCAGATTATTTTTAGTGGAGAAAAAATTATGAGGATGCATCCAGCTTCAAATGTGGTTAGTTCAGAGGAAAAAGTATTTGTAGCACTTCTTAAAGGCCTGTTGCAAGTTGAGTGAATTTTAAGTGTTGCTGGGAGAGACCCAAGCAAAAGCAGAGATCTGAAGTGGAGAAGAAACAGTGTAACTGGATATGCAGGGTCTTGTCAAATACTCGACCCTCTCTTAAGAGTAGGGAGAGGTTCTGGATGGCTGATGTCACTTATTTGTTTTCATCTGGAATGCTGGTGCAATTGTAACTACATAAATAGCAGTAAACTCCAGAAGCTGGAAAGTGACTAATGATTCTTTGTCTTCCTGGTTCATCAGTCATTGCAGGGATAAACTGTTTTGGTGAAAGCATCTAAACCTTACCAAGAGAATTTTGTAAAGTAAAAAAACCCACACATAACACCAAAACCAAAACAAACAAGCAAATAAAACCACAACAAAAAAATTCCAAATTTAGAATAATCAAGGTCCTATCATCTAGGCTGTGCTGCAGAATGGCTGTAAGTGCAGAGTCCAAAGCTCATGTTTGGATCTGTGAACCCACCTCTTCGTCTAAATAATGTTCCATCAGTTGACAGGTTTTACAACCCTGTCTCTGCTACTTTTCATAGACATGGGGCATACTGTGTTATTCCACTGTATGTGTGTGGAATTGTGCTTGAACTCTGGTATTCCTGGAACCCAGGCTTCCTTTTCTGTCAGGATTTAAACTACCCTTCTGGAGTAGTGTTAGAAGTGTGCTACTCTAGAAACTTGCTGAATATTTCTGTTATTAGACTTTAATTTCCTGCATACCAGACAGCAAGATCTTGGCAGGGAGGGAGGCAAAAAATGAAAAGAAAAAAAGAAAAAGCTTCTATCTCTTTGAACTGGCTTTGGTTGGTTTAGATTCTGGCTCTGGTCTGTCTGCTTGAATTCCTTGTATGAGTAGTGTGTGATCCCAGATCCCTGCCAAGGCAAGGTCAGGTGCAACATGACATGCCAGATGATTTTCTACTCTGGATGCATATTTTGGTGTTGGTTGGCTTGTTTTGGGCTCATCCACTCAGAAGCCTCTGACCATTTCCAGAAGAGGAGTGAGGTGGCTGAATTCAGTGTGAGCCTGGGTGTGAAGGTAGCTCCAGAATACTGAAAAGAAAGGAGAGGGAGTTTTCTTCCCCAGTTCTTTAATCTGTTGCTGATGAGCTGGGTAACTTCTTGGCAAGCGAACTCTTGAGTAGTCATCCCTTGGAACACCCCCTGCCCTTGGGAAGATATTATGCAGCCTGAGCTGCCATTCTTCATTCCAGCACAAGCTTCCCAAGCAGGGATTACTGATGCTCTTGTGTCAGGAGAGCATTGCTCAGTTTGTGGTCTTTAGAGGGCTCTCAGGAAGCATCTGATGAGGCATGACAAGACCTCTGGGGCATTTGTCTTCCCATAAAGAGCCCACTAAAGCTGAGGGAAAAATGTGTTCTGTTTCTCTGGAAACTGGCTGAGGAAAAACATCTTATTGAAAAAGTTAAAATGCTTTTCTGTCACTCATCTTTTATTTCTGAAGGTTGAGGCCCTTGCCCCAAGGTCAGTCTTCCAGAGGAGTGGAATATAACGGTCTGGAAAGCTTGCCTCATTTCTGGCACACAGCTGCTGGTGCTGTGTCTACCTGCCAGCTAGCAGCAGGGTTGGCAATAAAATGCTGCATGTGCCTCTTGTTAAATGAAAGCCCATGTGTAGTTAGTATGCAAGCAGGCATAGATTTGTCCACAAAAGAGCACTTCACCGTTTCATAATCTCCAGATTCTTCACTGATGCATCCAGCCTTCCTAGGAATACAGTGAAGTGCCCAAATCCCTCATCTAAAAATGAGTAGTAAGGACTCTGGATTGTTTCTTAGCTGTTTCTTGGCTCTTAGGTACAGTAGGGGAAAACATGTTTCTCCTCATTAGAGTACAATCATGGCCATCAGTAGAAGTTAAGTACCCAGACTTCATGCAGAAAGAGCTACAAATGTGTTTGTTGTTCTCTGTTACTGCTCTGCTTGCTGTTTCTTCCAAACAGGTAGTGATCAAATGCCACTGTTTCCATTTTGTTGTGCTGTTTTTGCCAGTGAAATGCTGCTCAAAGGAAAAGCTCCTCCAAAGATGAGGTGGAGGAGGAGTATGAGTACAAGAGCCTTCTCAGTCTCTCACTTTCATAATTTTTTTGGGTGGTGTTTTCTCTGCAGATGGTTGCTATTCCAGGAGGAGTGTTCACAATGGGCACTGATGAGCCTGAAATCCAGCCAGATGGAGAGTGGCCTGCTAGGAGAGTCCACATTGACAGCTTCTACATGGATCAGTATGAGGTCAGCAATGAGGAGTTTGAGAGATTTGTGAATTCTACTGGGTACATCACTGAGGTAAGGTGGAAAGGTGTGCAGCACCTGTTATCTTTCTCTCTGTTGGCAAAATTCCCACTAAAAATCAGGCTTTTCTTTTTTTAAGGATGTCACAATACTTGCTTGGGATTTGCATACTGGAATATTTCTCATGTAAATAGTGTAGAGGGAAGATTGTCCTCCCCTCCTGCCCAGGGGTCTGAAAGGGCATTTTGAGGGACACTGAGTTAAGTGTCCTGGTTCCTGAACTGGTGCCTTCCCTGCAGTGTGACTGAGGCAGCCTGGATAAAGCTAACAGATGGCTGAAGATGCAGGGGGTTTGAGGAGTTTTGGTTTGGTTTTGTTGTTTATTTTTTTCACCTTTGGGTCCTAGGACATCTTTGTACCAGGAAACTATGTTCAGAGGAAGAATGAAAAAGGAGTTGAAAAACCTGTGTTAGCTGAGGACTCTGCAGGCTCATTCAGCACAGCCACTTGCTAATGAGCAAGCCCTGCTGTCTAGAGAAGATATAATAGCAACTGTAATAACAGTTTTGTGCATGTTACTGGGAACAATGGAATAAGAAAGAATATGTTAAGGTTATTCCAAGAAAGAAGCTGCCTGTGCCTGAGGCTCTGATCTTCCCTGACAGTTGACTGTTCCTACACAACTTCTATGAAATCTTGACAGGCCTTTTAAGCAAATAAAAGTCTTGGTAATGATCAAATCTCAAAGGAGGCACTTTGCTGAATTCACTTGATAAACTGGTTCTCTTTTGGAAGACAGGATCCTTCTGGTTGGATGAACAAGCTTTTATCTGTGGCACTATTTCTGTGCTTAAGTTCTTAGCTCAATAATTATGAAAAAAAGGCTGCTTGACAATTGAGTTGGAACAGAACTTGTTGCAAACAGCTGCTGGAAGGAGCACTTGTGCAGTTTGAATGTAGCCCTGCAGCAGGGTGTCTGTTTCAGTGCTGCAGGGCTCAGCTCCTGTAGTTGGGTGCTCCACTCACCCTTTCTCCTTTTCCCCTCCCTACATGGGGCCCCTTTTATGTTGGATTTGGAAAAATAAACTCAGAGTAAACAGATTTTGCAGGGTTTTTTGGAGATGCAGCTGAGCTGTGTTTTGTGTATCTGAGTCCTGCCCACATTACTTACTGTGAGTAAACAGAGCCAACCTACTTCTTGGTTTTATTGGACTAGACTGGACTCCAGTGGCAAACGAGACCTGAAAGGGAATAAAAAGCTGAAGAAAAAAAGCCTCCAGAGGCAGAGCTATCTTGCTGCAACAAAAGTATTGTCTTTTTTAACAAACTTTAAAAAAACCTAAAATGCCCTTGATGGAGGCTGTGAGACTGCAATCTGGGGCCCTGTCAGTGATGAACTGTTTGCTTCTCTCTGGGTCTTTCAGATTGGTCAAGTGACAGAAAAAAAAAGTATTTTCTTATTCACTTTCCTTTCTGGAACGAGATAGAAAAGTTGAGTAGTTTGTAAAACTTCTTGGATGAATGGGATCCTTCTTTCAGACTGAGCTTCTTGAAGACTTCTGAGCATGCAGAAGCAGCTCATAGTGATCATTCTCAGTCTTTGAATGCCCTGAATGAAATGAAGAAATTAAGAAGGGCAAATTTCTTGACTTCTGATAACAAGTTTTGACTTTGCTATATAACAGTTCCCTTAGTTTAACAAGGGGGAAAACCCCTTCTGTTGGTGTCATGTACTGTGGTTCATTGGAATGATTTATATTTCTTGTTTCTTTTGGCTTTATATAATGGTGTGTATAATGACTGGGTTACTTTTGGCTCTTCTGTTGCTGTTGTAACAGTACTTTAAAACATGGTGCTGCAGTAAGGGAGAAGGCTTTTATTGTGATTCCCAAAGGAATAACAGTACTTTAAAACATGGTGCTGCAGTAATGGATAAGTCTTAAGTCTTTTATTGTGATTCCCAAAGGAGAAAGGAGATAAATTAAATAAAGCCTTGAATGTCAGATTATTGACTGTACCATTTTGAAGTAGTTGGGACAACTGGAACTACATTTTTAATTAGCAGAAGTAATAACATTTGCAGAAGCTCTGTGAGCTGCCATCTGCCCAGTGGCTGTTGGAGAACAATGACATCCAGGGATAAAATGCCTTCTTGATTGTTCCAAATAGCTTCCTTGAAAGATAAGGCAATTCTAAGAGTAACTTTGAGTTATCCTTAATAAAATGAAGCTGTAAATGTGAGTGGCATTTTAAGAATTACAATTGAATCTTTTGTTCTCTCTATAGGCAGAGAAATTTGGTGATTCCTTCGTGTTTGAGGGAATGCTGAGTGAAGAAGTGAAGGCTCACATCCATCAGGCAGTGAGTAACACAGCAGGGGAGAACTCCCTTGGCAACGACTGGGGCAGATGTGTTAGCAGTTATGGCAGACATATCTAAGTTGTGTGATATTCCCCAAGTCCTGCACAAGAATGGGGTTTCTGGAGTGGTGTTGGCCTAGAATAAGGCTCCCTCAAACATGAAGAATTTACAGTATCTTTTTTTTGTTGTTGTTGTGGGTTTTTTTTTAAACAACCAGTTACAAAAAATAGTTTCCTGATGAGCAAAAGTTAGTATCCACTCCTTGACATTTTTTCCTCCTCAGTGAGAGATATTTAGGACTTTATGAAGTGGTGCAGATATAAGGCTGTTTATTGGTATCACATGCAGCAGAGTGGTGCCTCAGAAATCCAGGTGTCAGTAGTGGCTCTGAGTGATGTGCTGTGCAGGCAAAGGACAGGAGAGCTGCTGGCTCCCAGAGTTCTTTTTGCCATTCCAGAGGAGCAAAGAGAGGTGGGACAGTCTGAGGTTAAATTACTGCTTTTTGTTAGTAGCAAGGTTTTACTTGTGCACAACACTTGATCCAACATACAAACCAAGGAGTTTAGAGGATTGTTATTTATTATGACAAACAACTGAGAATACCTGGGGCTTTAGCATTTAGTAATTTAATTGTCTCCAGAACAGTTTATCAAGCAAAGGCATTTCCTTCCACATGCATGGTGCAATAACTTAGAGAAATGATAATGAATAATTTCCTTCCACATGCATGGTGCAATAACTTAGAATTATTCATTATCATTTCTCTATATAGATGATGGTCTTGGTTGAGGGAGGGAAGCCTGTAAAGTTTGATTTTTGCCTTTGAGGGGCAGACTGAGAGATCAGAGGTTTCAATAAGCCCTTTGTCAATATGTGCTGTGACTGACTGGGAAAATGTGGGGTTTCATTTCCTACTGCAAGGAAAGGAAGATTACAAGGATAGTTCTTTTTCATTTCATTCAGCAGTAGCATTTTTGTACTGGGAGATGTAAGAAGGCTACATTGGACTTGCCAAATGCCAGCACAGCTGCTCTTGGAGGTAGAATAAATGCACATGGGCTTGTCCCATCTTTACAACAGAAAATTCAGCCATCAGTACCAGAGAAGTTGTTCTTCCTGCCCTAGTTCTGAGGTGCAGAAATGCCTAAATCAGGCTCTAAGGTTTAAGACAAACAAGCCAGAAGAATACTGGTGTAAGCTCAGTCTTGGCTATTTGTATAAACACACAGTGTTGAGAGCCACTTTCCTGGGTGTGTCAGCCAAATTTTAGTGTTGGCATAATGCTAACAGAACATGTTTTGTGCCAGAGAGCTGGATTGGAGCCCAAACTGGGCTTTTTGGCTGCTTCCTTCCAAGGTTTTCTGTATTTAATAAAAGTAAACTTCAGGAGACTGTGTTTTTGCCATGTATTTCAGTATTTACTATTGGGTCACTTTGCTAATTACTGGCATGCAGAGCATTGTCAGAATAGGCACAGAGAAAGATTATACTAGTTTTTTAGGTAAAGTGATAAGGAGAATAGTGACTGCCTTTTTTTTTTGGCACTTCATGCTGGTGCTGTGGACAACTAATGTTCTGAAACATTCTATGTTGTGAGAAGGTGAAAAAGAAACCAGAAGCTGCTTTTCTTCCATCTGTCTGCCTGGCCCCTCACTAGCTACATACCATGAAATCCAGCTTCTATCTGCAAGGAGATGTTCTCAAAAGGCAGCTCAGTGGTTGAGTTGCAAAGAGCATTCCAATGTCTGAAGATAAAGCTTAGGATTTTGCCTGTGTCTGCTTCTGCTTCTCAAAGCTGTGCCTTTTTGTTGTACGGGTGTGCATTTTCTGTGAGAGGTTGTGACTGTTGAGAGTACAGTGCAGACCCTGGTTGTTTGGAGGGGTTTTGGTTTTTGTGACAGTGCAATCTGTAGATTAGACAGGCAAGCACCTTTTAGTCGTAGGGAGCTGAAGCATCAGCCATGGGGCTGTGGTGTTAGACTGCAGTGCAGTGATTGCTCCTCAGACAAACAAATGCTGTGCAGGCCATGCTTGTCCTAGCTGATTAAAACTAGTGAAGAGCATTAGCAGTTTTCTAGAAATTGTGCTTTCAAGAAACAAATCTCAGCAGACAACTTGCAAGAAACTTCATATTACTAAGATAAACACCAACTCTGGGGCAGGGATCTGAAGGGTTGTGCAAAAGCAGATTCTTCCTAGGGATCTTGGAAACTTAGATGAAATATTAAAAAATGAAAGCATCTTATTATGTTGCCCAAAATGCTTAAATTCTGCTGTGTGTGCTGGGGAAATAATGATGAATCCAATACTAGTCAATCTTTTTTTTTAAAAAAAGGTGAGCAAATTTTAAGATTTGGGTTCTGCAGGGTGACTGTTCAAATGTCATCAGAAAGAGTGTGAATTGTATGAAACTAGTTTGCACCAGCAGATTGCAATGATCAGCAACAGAGGAGATTAAGGCTTGTTTCTCACTGTATACCTAAGTCAACTAAAATTTTAGCTTGTGTTAGGTACCTTCTTGAATCATAACTACCACTGGGAAAAGCAGAAATAGGATATAATCATTGGTGTGTTACTGGTGCTGAAAATCCCTCCACCAATTTGATGGGAGAAAGGACTGTGTTATTGCTTTGCTTTGGTGGCTGAGACACATTTTGGTAAGGCTTTTCTCCAGCTGAAGCACTGAGGTGCTAAATGCAGATGTGAATAAAGGAGAAGAGCAACAGGAATGTGTCTTTTGGAAGTGGTATTTCATGTGCAGTGAAGGAATCAGGGCAAGGTAGAAGTGAAGATATTGAACTAAACAGTGTATAACAGCTGCTGTAAATATTGGGGGGGGTGTTGTATGTTGGGGAGTGTCAGGGGGTTCTCCTCTACTTGGCCACTTTGGCTACTCCAGTTCTGAAGCTGAACAAATTCATCCTAGGCCCTGAGAGGAAGCAGAGAGCTGAATTAACAGAGGTGGGGCTGGTGAAAGCTAATGCAGGAGCAAATGAGCTTAGCACATAGAATAATTGTTGGAGCTTTGGGTGTGCATTTCCTGGAGTGAGGTGGTCTCCTAGATAGCCACTGCTCCAGGAATGTAGGTTGGACCTAACCCTCCTCTGGAAGGGAAGCAGAAAAAAGGGGTGTAGCAGCCAATAATTGGATTGTTCTAGATTTTTGGGAACTTGAATTTTAATTTTGACCTCTTAAGTTTGTGGTGTTAACAAGGCAGAGAGGGAAAAGTTAGCACTGTAGCAGATGAGGGTGTTACTGATAGAATTGGCAAGGATGTTTTCAAATAAAACCAGATTTTTCTGTGGTGAGAGCAGAAGGCCCTTTGAAACCAAGGTATTTTGTGTGGGTTTAACAAGTATTGAGAGCTTCACATATTAAACTCAGTTCTCAGACCTGCAGTTTAAGACCAACGGCAAATTACTGCATCTATTAGAGCTGTTATGTCCATGTTGGATACTTGGCCTTAGATGTCATTGATAAAAAACACCCTAGAATTGCCAATAACTTAGCACTTGGAGATAATTTTTCTTTTTCCTCTCTTCATGGAATTCGGGGAAATGGAAAAAGAGCAAAATCTCTCCATCTTGAGGTTCTTATTTTGTGATGAAACTGTTTGCCTGCTCCTTTATCCCCCTGAGTGAGTAGAGGAGGAAATGCATGCCCAGTGCTGTTATTCCATGACATTGTAAAATGTCATTTATATGGCATTTTAATGTGTCTGAGAGCAAAAAGCAGGGGGATTGTGTCTGTGAAATGAGAAGGTACTGAGGCATGCTTGCCAGTGAGAGGATCTGAGAGCTCTTGCAAATAATTGCAAGAGTTTCACTTGCTGTGCAGCTATCATGAAGAAGGTAAACATGAAGTACCAAGATTGTAGTACAACCTAAGTCACATTTGCTCACTGGGGAGTAGTGGGAACATTTTTATTCTTGGCTTCTGGAAGACAGCAAAATTAATTTTTGCTTCAAGGCCAGATGAACTCTGCACTGGAGAGACTGGAAGCATACAAACCTGTGTACTTCATTTGTCTTTAGGAGGGATTGAGTTTTTGGTCTGAGAATGCAATGAAATTAGTTCACTGGCAGACCTGAGCAAATACCATTAAGGAGTTCTGCTCAATCTAGAACTATTGGATGCTGTTTTCATCCCTGTTTGCATGGAAACTTCTGCAGTGGTCTTGAAGTGTGCAATTCACTTGGTGCTAGCAGTGCTGCCAGCCATTAACTCAAGGGGCATAGTCCCATTCTAAAAACAATGCAAATGTGCATTGCAGGTGAGTATTTGGAATGAATAATGAAAAGAATAGTGTTTGCAGGTAGGACAGCAGTGCTAGTGTTTGCAGTTACTATAGAGAATGTACCTTCTAACAACATGCAGTAATAACTTGCTTATCTGTGGCTTGAGGAGAAAGCAGGAGGTTGTGGTGTAGTTTGATGCTGTTGAAATGTCCAAATCCTTAGGATGCATAAGCAGAAGTTGACACGTACACCTTATTGCTAGTTTAAGGGTAAACTGCACCACACTTGGCTTTGACTTTTTCAAAGGCCTTTCAGAGAGGAAGCTGAGATCAAAGGAAGAGAAGGGTGAGCCAGTTTCCTGCAGATCCCAATGCTTCAGATACCCTGGATGAGGAGCTGGGAAGGTGGAGCTATCAAGCTGGTAAATCTCTGTCTTATGCTGCACTCCCACTTCTGGGTGAAGGAACGTGCAGGAAGCATCTCATGGGGAACCACCAGTAATATTAGTCCATATTTGACAGTATAAACTGCAACTTTGAAGTGGGGCATTGCTTGTGCCTGAGGCTGTACATATATCTGTGCACACCTCATTTTCTCAAAGCTCATATTTATGTGGTTATTGGAAAAAATTACTGCCTTGTCTGCAGATTTACATGTTGGCTCAAAAATAGGCTTCCAGAGATGGAACTCACCGGGAGTATCAGGTCCTCAAAAGAAGATTTTTGGATTCCAAAACTTGCACTTCATGAATCTTACTGGATT